CTTTTGAGAGCTGGCGGGTCTTTCTCCGGTCCTATTTCGTTGTTGCCATTCCTTGATACAGGAAATATGAGCTGGTTCAATGTATGGTAGTTAGGATTATGAGAAAGTAAACCTTTGTACAACAAATTTGTATTTAAGGTAATGGTTCACGCCTTATCGCATGTGAGTTGTGAAGCCCTAATCACTCGTTCAAAGTGGGGTAAGTTGTGCAGTATAAATAGTTAAGCTCGATTTTGCAGTTTATAGATTCGATGAGCATGACCATGACTTGGTCAAATTAAGGTTGCAATTTGCTCCCTACTCTGGTGCAAGGTCAGGTGGCGGGCACCGTGGCTAGCGTTGAATTATGCGATTCGCAGGTGATTGATGCTTACTTTATCCACTCGACCTTTTATTATTCATGGCTGTTAGGTATTGTACAAGACTTCGTTATAAAACAATTAATGACGCTTAATCATGGAACGACACTTCTCTGTAGGATTTGCTCGAATTTGGGAGCTTATGATAATGAGGGATGGTACGACAGCCTTGTGATTTCAAGAATTACGCCAGTCTCTGAATGATCGCTTTCTTTAGGAAGAACTTGAATCGTTTAGTTTTTTATCATTCTGGGGCAACCACTAGAGATTTGAGAGTGTTTCCTTTCTGCTAGAGAGCATCAAACTATATTTGGTTTTAATTATTTGAAATGTCTTCATATGCATTTCACTGAGTGTTTCTAAACTTGTTTATGTTTGCGATTGGGAGTCATGATTTGGAAATATTTGATTAATAATGGACGGGCAGTGAAATAGGTAGAGGTGCTGTCATTCATTTGTATTCATTTTTCTCAAAATCTTTCTGCAGTTCGGTTCCCTTGTCTCCCTCTATGAGTTTGAAAAAGAAACAATGAAAGAATAAAATAAAGAACATAAAACAGGAACCTTTTCTGCTCTGATTTCTAAAAGAAGAAGCCTCCTAACTAGGGATTGTCATTTCCCATTTATATGTGGGAGGGAAGATGGCAGGCATTTGCTTTGGGCAACCACAAAAAACTTGATCATTGCCTTTTCCTGTATGCCGTTGTTTGAAGTGCAAGAAAAGACTTTTAGGTTATATTTGATTTATAGGATGATAGATAGAATAATAATCATCTTATATTATATATGTTTGATTTGTATTTGAAAAAAAATAAAATTATAAAAAAAATTAATCATCTTTTTTGTATAAAAAAATTCAATTCTTAATACATTATGATTCAGTCGTACTGACTATAAATTTCATTATGGACTTTGTCATGATGTTCTTTTTCCATTTTTGAAGCTTGCTGGCATAGGTTGAGCAGTTATTATTGATGTGATGATTATTATTTTTGGATGGCCAGATGAAGCTGTTTAGATGTTTTAAATAAATATGGTACTATGTTCTTCTCTTTTGAAGATTCAGTTAAGTACAAGGTTAGTTCATCTATACAGAATTAGTACTATTTGTTAGGAGTGAGTAAAAATCGATTTGAATCGATTATTGATCAAAATCGAATGAATTCGGTTGAATCAATTTGATTTATTCGATTTTAGTTATAATCGATTTTTTAAATCGATTAAATTGATTAATTAGGTCGGTTTTTAAAATTGATAATCGTACTAATTAAATTAACCGACTTTTTAATAATTAAAAATAAAAAAAAATTGAGGTAAATATTTTTATTTATTTATTTTTGTAAAATATTGTTGAAATTGTTAAATTCTTTAGTAATTTAGTTTGAATGATACTAGAGTTTGAATTTTATTGAATTAAATTTGTGGTTAAATAATTATTAATAATAAAAAAAAATAAAAAAAAATTGATTATTTAACCGAACTGATCGAATTGAACCGATTTTTCGATTTGGTTATGATCAATTATTTAATAATATTCGATCGATTTAATTATTTATTAAATGAAAATCGATTAAATCAATTATTTATTTTTTCAAACTAAACCGATTGAACCGATCATTTACTCACACCTACTATTTGTAATTGCTAATGTATTTTATGGCAAGATTTGCGGGTGCTAGGCCTGATAACAATAATTAACTACATTATCTTACTTTTTAACCCGAAGCAAACCTTGTTCTCTTTGACGGGGTCGGGTGGCATATATGTGTTAGGCCCTTAGCCATGTTGCAAAGGAGATGATGCATTGATGGTTAAATTCACGTAAGGTAACAAGTCCAGTTATACAGCTGTTAGACCACCGACCGTAAATGTTGCTCTCCTAATTTCAGCTAAAGAAGTTTCACATACAGTGAAGAAAACACGAGCATAGATACTCGGGAGTGACGAGATGGAAAATCCTTGGCTGCTGGAGATTATTGTTCAGATTTGAGAGAGAATTTAATGCACTCACACTTATCGACGGTGTCTTTTTTATGGCAATACAGTTTTTCCGTTGTTAAACCAAGCCACCCATATCTTTATTGAGTTTTTAAGAATAAAGGGGAGTTCTAAACGTACTTCAGTTTTTACTCTATACATCCTCACTTTTTGTTTTAAAATTTTTTTTATAAGTGAAATTATGTAATATCAAAATGCAATTTCGAAAAATTATTACACTTCTCGTGAATACATTTTTTAAATTTCATAATACTTCTTGAAAATTCATCTTCAATAAGACATAATATTTATAAAAAATGTATGAAATATTATAAAAAATTACGAAAAGGAAATTTTATTAAAATTATTTGTAAATAAATATAATAAAAAGATTATTTTCACTGTTTTGATTTTATAGGTGCACGTCTTTGAATATTATCAAGAATATGCTTGTTGGGATTTTTTTATAACATTTCAAAGAGTGAAAAAAAAAAAATTATTGCCATGCTTTCGACGTCATACAAATTTGAAAATCAATAGAAAAAGTATTGAAAGAATTGGAATGAATTCAAAGGTGAAGATTTTTTTTTATCATAGTTGCATAGTTATGAATAAAGAAACAATAATATTATATAATTTTATCTAAATTTAATATATTAATTAAAAAAATTAGTCGTGATAAGTAGACAAAAGTACTTATCCAAGAAATTCAATTTAATTAAAATTATTATAAAATTTTAATAATTGATATAAAAATTTATTTACTAAAAAATAATAAAATTTTAATTTATAAAAAAATTATATTTACTATTATATTTTTAATTTAATTATTCTCTTAAGATATTATTCTTTCTTTAATAATAATTTTTTATGACATTTATTTATAAATCATTTTAATAAAAAAAGTTTTTTTGTAATTTTTGATAAAATTTTACTTTTAATACTCTTGGAAATGCATTTTGAAAAAATGTAATGAGTTTTTGGAAATGTATTTTTGAAAATTATAAAATTTATGAAAAAGATATTTTAATAATTTTACTAATAAAAAATTTTGGTAAAAGAAGGGGTATATGAAGCAAATACAGTGATGCAAATAGAATTCTCCTAGAATAAAATATGAAATTTTTAATTTTAAATGAGCTACTTTATTTCGCTTTTATCATTCTAATTTTTTTCTCTCTTCCTGCCACTGTTTTCCTCTAAATACTTTTTAATCTTATTTCTTAATCGGGTTTCCTTTAAACTAAGCTCCACATCAGCATTTTATTCCACCTCATTATCTTCTTTTTTCGGTTTCTTTACATTCAAAGAGAATGAGGAAAACGGAAGCACGGCATTGGCAGGCTAAAGAATGCTTTTTTTTTTTTTTTTAATTTTTCCTTTAATTTTGTCGATTTCCTTTCACCATTCTCTTTTTTCTTTGATCTGGAATTTTTCCTTTCATAGCTGGACCTGTAAGAATTTTGCCCTCGCCTGAAGCATTAATGTAATCAAATCCGTTGTCCTCCACTAGTTTGTATTCTCTTCGGGATCTGCCATTGGATGTCCATCTTGATAAATTTTAAGGTTCTGCTCAGAAATTGATTGATGATAAAGCTCAGTTCCCATGTCTTTCAACTCCATTGAGGGCGCGTGAAGGAAAACAAGTTGAGCAATCTAATATTGGTGAGGTAGACAATAAAGTTTTGGGGCAAAATGGTGGCCATTGGCGTTCCTATATATGGACCTTCTCAATCAGAGCAGTCTCTTCACTTTTTCCCTCTATTTAAGGTCGAAGTTCGAGTTTCATTAAGCCTCCAGAAGAGGCATTTGAAGAAGGTTTTGTTACTTGCCAAAATTGTCTTGTTGCCAAGTTCTGGGGACATGCCCCTAATTATAGCAATATGCAAAAAAAAAAAAAAAAGTTAATATATTGTGAGGAAAGAAAGGTTCTGTTGGAATCCATGCAGGTCTGAAAATGTTTCTCTTCAACTTTTCCAATACAAAAACTTGCAATTGGGGATTGGAATCTGGTCCTTGGCACATTAATAATAGGCTTATCTTTTTGAGAAAGTGGAAACCTGGAATGAAACTTGTGATACTTGATTTTGCTAAAATCTCTTTCAATTTTTTTTTTTTTTTAATTTTCAAAACTGTTCTCAAAAGCAAATATTTTTGCTAGAGAGATTTAAATTGAATTAAGGGGTCTAGATTTCAATTTTATATTTTAGTTTCTGGAAAACAAAAGCATGTTGTCTCTTTGATGTTGGCTGCAACTTGCCATTAGATTTACACACTCAAAGTCAAAGATGTGATGCTGCAAGTTGGGACTCAAGGGGATTATAGGAATGTATAGTTGCTTATAAGTAATACCAGAGATCAGAAAGCTGAAAAAGGTTTTGTCATCTTAGCATTCGTGGATATTAATGAGAATAAGGAAGTTGCATTAATGATTTTAGTACCCTCATTAAGATCATACATTTTTCTTTATTTATGGTTTTAAATTACAAAGCTATTAATCATTTTTTAGTCGTATATATATAATATAATAATATGGAATTGATTTCAATTTATGAACATGACAAGTGTGAGTAGTTTTATTAGATCCAATGTTTAGTTTTTTAAACATTTAAGTTATATAGAAGGACACGGAATGGAGCCACATCATTGTTTGAAATAGTTTGTTTTGCACAATTATATTTTCATATACTGTTAATATTTTTATACAGTCCTTAACTAATAATCCATGGTTGATATCAGGACCAACCCCATTACTAAAAAAAATTGAATCAACCCAGAAAAGCCAACACACACAGCCTGCCATGGTACTTCATGGACGGGAGAAATCCTATTACATAGGCCAAGGAACCTCGGCCTAATCAAATCATCATTCTGGATTCATGTCGAAAACATATTATTAAAAAAAAAGGGAAAATAAAATTAAATAGAATACTGAATGCAGCACAGTAATTTTTTTTTTTAAAAAAGGAAGAACTGTTTTGTTGATTACCCTGAATGCTTTGGTCAAATAATTACACTGAATAACCTGATGAATGTTCTCTTTCTGGAAACAAACATAACTCTAACTATTCATTTCAGGCCAACCAAGCATTTAAGCAAAGTTTTGGCACATGATGTTCTTCGTCCCTGAGTTAAGGGAATAATAAATCCTTCGATCTAAAGAATTTATTTTTGATATTAGAAATATGAAGACTGTTCACCAAGAACATTCAACTGAGCTAGCACTTTAGCAGCAAGGGATTTCATTCCACCACTACCCCTTTGAGCAATGTCGACTAATGGCATTTGGGCCAAAGTTGCATACCTCTGCTTCATCTCAGCCGTCCGAAATATCCTTTCTAAAGCCCCAAGAGCCTTCTCCTGTAACTTCGTAGAAGTTGAACTCAGTAACTTTATAATTGGAGGTATGGCATTTACTTTTGCGAGCTCTTGGCAGCCACTTTGCAGTCTTTCATCGTCAATCAAGGTCAAGAGCGCGTCTAAAGAAGCTTCACAGGCTCCCAAATCTCCCTCCCCAAGAATCCTTACTAAGGGTTCTACAGCGTTAGCCTCTAAAATGCAGAATGAAGATTCCACGGTACATATTCCCCGGTGTACTGGGCAGCCTGTTTGTGCGGCAGCCAAGCAGCAAATAAAAACCCTTGTCTTCTTGACTGGGTGGCTCAAGGCAGTGGAACTTTCTGAAAACTGTTTAAGCGAAACAGCTGCATTTTGTTTTGTCAAACAAGTACCAGAAACTAGTAACTGTACCAAAACTGGAATAAAGCCAGCTTCTGCTACTTTTTTCTGCCATTCCCTATTTATTGAAACCGTGAAACGACAAAGTGCTCTAACAGCACTCTCTATTTCCTGTTTCTTGTGCGAGGCATTTCTATTTCCATCAGTTATGGTAGCAAAAATTATATCCAGTGCCCCAGAATCTAGAAGCCATTGAGTTATCTGTATGTCCTTTGGAAGATTGGAGATGATACCCATTGCAGCTGCAGCTTCTTCTTCATCACTCAAAGTTTTTATGATCCTGAGCAATGTGCCAATGCATCTCTGACCAACATGCTCCTGAAAACTGATATCATCACCATCCACTGTCAAGCAATAGAATAGCTTCACAGCACTTGTTCTCACCATTTGGTTGTTTACCTCACATAATTGAACCAATACTTGGACAGCAGAGAGCTGTTCATCAAATAAACATTTGAATAATATAAAATGTTAGAAACAAATTCCTGATTTCTTAGGGAAAAAAAAAAGAAAAAGAAAAATAGAAGAGGGGAGGTGTTTGATACAATCTTAGAAGTCCAAAAATGCCAAACATAAGCACATCTATCCAAGTCCTAGGAATGGTTTTCCTTATGCAAACTAGTTAACCAAGTGTACTGCAGATAGGATTTTGCATATCAGGTATTGAAACTGCTTGGAAGCATGCGTACCTGTCTCAACTTTGCTCTGATGTCCCGACCAGAAGAAGACTGGCACATTTCACAAAAAGCTTGAAGAATGTTTCTTTGAATTTCAGGCCCCGTCAAGGAAACCAGAGAAAATAGTTTGAAGATATCTTCATCAGATTCCAGCAATGAGATTTGCTCATGACCAGCCTCTTGGCTATTAGTTGATTTGGCAAGGTGCATAATCACAACTGCAACCTGTTCACGCAAACTTGGGGATGACAAGCTATGACAATAGAGTATTTCAAATAATGGTCCAAGTGCACCTTCTTTAATCATCAGCAGGCCATTTTGAGGCAAGTTTGACAGGTTCTGAAAGGCTCTAACTGCCACTGTTTTCATACCTAGATTATCATGAGAGAGTAACTGAAGAAGAGGTCCTAGTGCTCCATCTTTAAATAGGGATAATTTATGATGATCAGTCAACTCAATTTCTGACAATGTCTTAGCCATGAGCAATCTAACATTATCTGGTCCTGCACCCGTCAGAATGTCCTTACTGATTATGACTTACAAATTCACGCCGTTGTTGCAAGTTAAAGAAAAGAAAAACATAATGCACTAAGAACTTTTGATCATTATAGCGCCAAGAACTTTCCAAGCGCTTTGACCCGGTACAGTGAGAGGAGAACCATTATAGAAAACTTACCCGCAGAAAGAAGCTGCAACAATGGTTTGAAAAAGTTTGCTTTCGCCATCTCTATAACATTTTGATGGAGGAAAGAAAGATTATCCAAAAGCTCTCTTGAGTCTCCAGAAGCTTGATCATCATCACTGTTTAGCATAGTTACTACAAGAAATATACAGCCTTGAATGGTTCCAATGACATCTCGCACTGCACTGCTTCTTGATAGTTCCAACAACAACTGTAATGCTAACTTGCTTTCTTTTATCTGGCGGGCAAGTGACCGGACAATGGATTCAAATGCATGATCTACTTTTGCAATTCTTTCCTATAAAGTTAACAACACCGGTTTAAGAAAAAAAAAATAGTCTGTACATTAAATTGTTTGTCTTTACAATCATAAACAATAGCCCTTTATCATAAAAAGGTCCAACATGAAGGTCAGTTTCGTCAGTAAAGGTAGTATGTAAGAAACTGTGCCACAAACTTCAAATTTTATGTAGTTTATTCCCAAATGAATAGATTGGAGTTTTAGCCCTGTCCATATGAAAGGAAGTAAACTAGAAGTACCTTGTTATCATGACTATCTTTTGCAAGAATGCAGAGAATGGCTAGAGCATGTGTTCTTATTTCTCGATTTTTTGCACTAAGAAGTCCAATGAGAATTGGTATATTACCCTCAAATGTCACCCACTCTCTGTGCAGCTCTTGTTCGGCGCATAGATCCTGCAGCTCACAGAGAGATTGGAGCACTTCTTGCTCTTCATTTGACTGAAGTTTAGGTTTGATGGAAACAATAGTGATCATCTTGTTCCTATCTTTCCATTCTTCAATTGATTGGCGAAGAGTTTTATTAGGCTGTAAAACCAAAGTGTCCAAGTGAATTGAGGTTGATGGACAGAGTTTGTTTCCATCTGCAAACCACCTCTCTATGGCACTTCTCTCAAATGTCCGACCAGAGGAAATCTCCACCGGGTCAACCATGACATCCATAGTGATAGGGCAATAAAACGACTGAAGAGGCTGCAAAAGTTGCATACCAAGAGAATTCCGCTCATCGAGGTACCTCTTTGCTTTCTCCTCATAGGATGTTATAGCATCAGCCTTTTCAAGCAACACAACATTCTGTTTCATTCTTGGAGCTTCAGCAGTGTCTATTCCCAGTTTTGAATCTTCTATTTCAGTCTTAAATTCTTCGAATTCCTTCTTTGAGGCCAATTGCTCATCAGGAACCCCAACTGCCTCAGCAACAGAAACAAGCAAATCATTTGCATAACATCTGTCAACATTCCTCTCTTGTATACCAGACTCATTCTTCTCCAAAATTTTATCCTCCACTATGCCTGGACTATATTCAGCCCCCAGCATATCCTTGCATAACCTGCTAATCTTATTACTAATTCTCAGACCATCCACAGAGTCCAAGGGGATGAGACTTAGTGCTTGAGAAATCTCCTTTGAGCTGTTCTCTAACTGCTTCAAGATTTTCCTGCAGCTGATCATGAGCTTGTTTCTAGTTCCACACTCAAGAGCTAACTGCTTCACAACTTTAACCTCCAGGTTCAGAATATCCAAAGCATTTCGTAAGCTTTCCGAATCATCTACATTTGACTTTGACAACTCCTTTAAGACAAGTGTGATCTTCTCCATGTAATTTGAGAATTTCTCGAAATTCTCCATCTGAGTAAGGACGCTCTTGGCAGCACGAATGCAATCAAATATGGCAAGTATGGTTTGAGAGAACAGCTCGGGCAGTGAAATCAGTGATGTAGTAGTTATGCCTTTTGCCATCATTGAGCATTAAAACAATAATAAAAAAAATATAAACAAAAAATTATAGAAGAAGATCCTCAAATACGATGATGTTTGATCCAAATTAGAGATCAAAAACTGGTAAAACTCAGGTCATATGGCAATGCCAAGAGCAACCTCTGGAATTCAATTTCTGAGGAAAAAGATTGGGTAGATTTGTCCTCAATGATATCAATCAATCTGTCAAGAATTCAAGCAGTAGAAATAAAACCAGCTATTAATATGGGTGAAATTTTTAGAAGAAAATCAAAAAGATCTTCAGTCAAGCAGCATCAAATGGGATGCTCAGGCTTAACTCTTTCATTTTTTCTTGGCCAGACAGGCTTAATTCATTTAAAGCAGTCATTTCCATTTATTACAACCAATTGAAAAACGAAAAAAGAAAAAACATTCATTTTCTTCTCTCTTAACGCTTAAGCAGGTTCTTTTTTTTTTTTTTTTTTTTCTCAGGATAAAAATAACACTGCATCCAAAAACACCCTTTCTCAAGTCATTAAGATTACTTGACATGTTAGCATTTAGAAGTTAGCAGAGAAACAGAGAAAGAAGCAGCAGCTGACCTGGATATAATTAGTCAACGAACCTCTCTTGTTTTATGGGGGAAAGAAACCACTCGAATTTTCCTGGGAAATAATCCCAGCGAGAAAAATGTAGCTTTGGAGAGCTTCTGTTAAGAAAGGAAGTCTTTTCTTCTGCAAATTGTTCCACGTATAGACATATAGATATTTATATTTATATATATTTCCATCGTATCTCTGTCTAGAGTCTGAGACCCGTGTTTCTATGCCTTTTAGAAGCGAGATTGTTGACAAAGTCAATGGTGTATTTTCTTGGTGATCTGCTGCGGAAAGATCTATATAGGATCGTAGATAAAAGCTACTCGATGTTGGCACATCATGAGCAAGAAAAAAAGGTACATCTGAATGGACGCTTGGCGCAATTAGAATGGCAGTTGTAAGAAAAGGAGCAATTGGTTGGAGTATGGGGTTTGAACTTGCAGAGTAGAAGACGTTAAGGTGGAAATGGCGGCAACCAAACGGTAAATTTTACGTAATGCCTAATTTTCCACAGATTTTCTACGAGTACCATGTTAGTGTTGTTGTCATACACGATAATTAGTGTAGCATACTCAATGCCCAAAAACATACATAGTAGCAATTGCAAGGGCCATATCAAAGTTTAAGTTTGATTGTTTCGAATCAATTATATATAAATTATTTTATCTTTTCAAAATACATATCTATAAAATAAATAAAGTTGTCCCCCAATTTTTACTGTTTTAATTTGCTCAACATGTTTTCAAAGTCATAAAAAAAATTGGAGAATAAATTTGGGAAAAAAAAACTAAAGCTTCTCCATAAGCTTTTTCATTTTTTTTTTATAATTTCATTGTTGTTGAAATAAATCAATGTCTAAATGGAGCTTTTAGAGATAGACGATTCTAAAAAACAAAAAGAAAAAGAACGGAATAGGAAAGAAGGAGAAGCCATGCAAAAGAGAAGAAATCACCAACGAACATTAATGAAAGCTGTAATCAATGCTAGAGGACTAAATTGAGAGGCAAGAAGAAAGAGAGAGATAGAGAGATAAGATGGGTTGATGCTTTGTGATAGGTATCACATTTTGTCTATTCATATTTTTCTCTGTTTTCATCTTTTTTTTTTGGATTTTTCACTTATAATTAAAGATTTTTTTTGTTATTTCCTTTATGGAAGTTTGAATTTTGATTAAAAATATTAATTAAATTCTTATTTACCCATTTGATAGAAGAAGGAGACTATCACTCCAATCAATTCAAAAATTACATTAAGTTTTGGATTTTTTTACTATATTTAATTTATCATTTTCTTCTTTTATTCTAACAAAAAAAATGTGTTTGATTTGAGTCATTTAAGTTTTTAACTTTCAATTTTGTGTGAGGTTTTAGGAATTAAATGAATAAAGGACTTAGCTACTCAGTAGAATTCAAAGGTTGAAATAGGTAATCATGAAAAATATAACTCTTTTTTTTTTTTAATTTTTACATTTTTCTATATTTTGAGTTATATATTCTAAGAATCTTTTTCCTATTGCAAAGTTAGACACCCAAGTTAAAATTTACCATGATGTAAGTTCAATTTTGCATTTTATCTCTTCACAAAAATTTTCTGGTTGTCATAATATACTATTGATGTATTATTTTTCATGGTTTTTTTTCATTCTTTTGGTTTATTCATGCTTAGGTTGTCAGTATTATATAGTGATAGGAAAGGCTTGGAAACAAAATCTATGGGAATGAATGTTTCATGTCATTCTAAATAAGTGTTTAATAGTTGAAGTTGATGGATCTTTTACTATGGAATGAAGGTTCTCTTAAGAGAATCTAGATATGATTGTTTGTTTCCTACGAATGAAATAATCAAGTAGGGGAAAATATAGCTTCAATTGGTTTAAATTTTTATCTTTTGTATGTTATGTACACAATTACAATTGAGTTTACTCATACATGTCTTTGCTATTTATCAAAGTCTTAAATATTGACAAACGTGTGAGCAATGAGCTTAACTTTGGAGAAATTTTATGCGTGTTTATGATATAAAATGAACATGAGACTATTAATAAAATATGTTAAGATCTTAAATATGAATACAAATATGTTTATGTATTTGAAGTCTTAAACCATTGAGTGGATAGATGTTTGCCCAGGCTTTTTGTGTTTCTACATTCAAGTTGACGGTTTTTCGACATGACAAGCATTTTATGAATGGTTTGCATAATCTATTTTAAAATTTGAAAGACATCCAATCATTTGTTTTCTCCTAGCTCTATTGTAGTTCTTGATTGTTAAGCATAGTTTTGTCAATTTTTTTTGATGATATTGGCTATGCATTCATTTTAATTGTTTGTAGACTGTCATTCTCAAAGTTAGTATATCATGCCAAGGTTGTATTGGAACTATGAATAGAATTTTGGGAAAAATGGAAGATGTATTCTAACTCTTGCTTTTTGACCTTTATTTTTTTCTAAGTAACTTTAGTGCTCAACATTAGCTAAAACTTTGCATTCATTATCTTTTTTTTCTTTGGAATAAATAACTCTAGATATTTTCCCTTGTTTTTTTTATTAAATTAGTGAATGATTGGCTTTTTTTTTTACATTTAAGTGGAAAATTCTACTCGAAGTCTAAGTTATCACTTTTCACTAGACATGCAATCATCCAATTCAGTTGTTTTTTTTTTTTTTTTGCTTTGGTTTGATAACTAATATCTTTGTTTTGTGATAAAACATTTATCAAACGTGGAATCATATGAGGTAGATCTTAAAGTGCAAAAAGTTATTGTGAAGTGCAATGCCTCATCTAATGTAATTCTACTTCTAAAAAGCAAAAACTCTAATAGAACCTAAGGCAAAGTTTGTAGAAGCTATTGTTGTTGCTCAATACGTGTCCTAGTTTACTTACTAAATTGATGTGAGTGCATTCAAAATTTTGTATATAATAGTAATTTATTAATTTTACATTGTTCAAATACTATTTATCAAGGCAACCAATTTCATGTTAATTTTTTAACTCTCGATTGGGTTTTAAAGTGTAGGCAATTTAAAATTGAAAAAAAAAGTGAAAGATAGAAAAGCTTTTGGGAAAAAAAAATGTTAATCCATTGAAATTTGGTAAAACAATTATTAATCATTCTCTAACAACCCTCTCACAAATACTAAGATTGGTTTCATTTTTTTTTTTAGTAGATGAAAAAGCCCTAATACTTTTATCATGTTTACCTCTTATAGCTCACTCTTATAATTGCTCTTACATAGGCATGAGGATTTATTTTTAGGCAGCCTCCTCTCAACCAAAATTTTTCATAATCTTCTTTTACTAAAGTTCATTAATATTATTATTGTCTACCATTGAGAAAGTGTCACCATCTATTTCATCCTCATAAGCAATCCCTCATTATCACTATCTTTTATTAGCCTGTTATTTAGCCCTAATTCATAAAACTTTTGTTGTTTAATTTTACTGATTTTTAAGTTTTTTTTAATAGCCCTAAAAGAACTAATAAATGGGGCAAGATAGTGTGGTATGTAGATATGGATTATATAGTAAGGAATAAATTCAATCCTTCTATTGTTTATGGCTTTAATTAGCAATTTTTTCTCTTATTTTACATTTTAAAGTTTTAAAAGTGTAGTAAATTTTCATTAAAGGAACAAATAATTTCTTTTAATTTATAGACTTGCCCAATGTTTTGAATTTTTGTATGGCTTTTTTTCATTAACTTTTTTATTGGATTTTTTAGTGCAATAGTGAAAAAAAAAAAACTAATTAACATGACATTTTTTATTGCAAAGATCAATATCTTTTGTTTATTTTCTATACGAGGGATATGTTTTCATATGATTTAATGAGATTAAGTTTCTTTAACTTAGACACATGTCATCTTTGTCTTTCAATTTTCTTATGGTTATTGGATTTCTAAGTTGATTTTCATGTTTATATTACTGGCAGAGTGATGATGGTTGGTTGTCAAGGTAGACATATCCTTTCCAACTTTAAATTTGTTTTTTTTTATAAAGCTAGAACTCCTAATAGACCATATTTAGGTGCTTATTGAAATTTTCTTTGAAACATTGTAATCATTTTTATGTCTATTTATATTGTTTCAAAACAATTTCCTTTATGATAGTTTGATTCAGTTCAATCTACTGGCTATTTGATGAATTTGTAATGGGCTCTTTTTGCATGTTTTTTATGTTTTTTTAATTAGGAATGAAAATGATGAGAGTTCTAAAATTTTTAGATGATATATTTTATTCAATTTGTTATCTTATTTTTATGTCTTTTTCTGTTTAGTGCATAATTATTTAAGTGTTTATTTAAGAATTGTTTGATGAAGTAAGCATGATTGATGTGGTAATACTAATATATACTAAACCAAAAATAAACAATAAAAAAATAGACATTTTCTTTTCGAGATGGTATTGAAGAAGTTGAACTAAGTGTATGTTGATATGAGATAAAAGTTTACTTCCTAAGATCTTAGTAGAAATCAAATCTAACATTATTCATGTGAGGTTGTTCATTATTGGTTATACCATTTATTTTTTTTTATTCATGAAAAAACTTACCTGTATGAAGTTATTTATTCATCTATAAAGCTAGACATGACTGTGGTAGCAAGATATTGATACTAATTCAACAAGTTGTATGAACTTTTTAAGGTCCACTTTTGAATTAAAAACTAACTAGACGAGGTATGTGTAGCATAATTTTGTAACAATCAAGTTCTTTGCAGAAAGAGGTTTATAATGCATATTTATTATAGTAGTCTTGCACTATATAGATACCATTTTTATTGCAATAATCTATAATGGCTACAATGATAGTTGCCCATTTTTTAGAATTTCTAACCTTCATTGCTTTTCCTTTTGTCATTTAAATGTTATAGAAATGAAAAGAATACCTATACCATGTCAAAAAGATGTTCTAATAATAAATATTCATGTTTTTACTTTTCTTTCCAATGTTCACTTGCCAAACCTTTTATTGAAACTCGATAAGAAATAGTCAATTTACTTAAAGCTACTCAAGCAGTAAAAAGAGGTTAAAAAAGAAACTATATATTAGATAATACAATATTGTACCATATTGGGTTACAATTTCACATGCTAAACCCTAAATGATTAAACAAATTTAATTTCAAATTAAT